CAACTTCTTTCAGCCTCCCTGCCTCTCAGCCAAAGAAGGCAATAGATTACACAAAGGACCAGGAGTACACAAAGGAAACGTGCAGCTGAGGATGGCGGGGAAGAAAGGATACTAGTAAGATTGGGGGGGGCACATGCAGGGGCATGAGGGACTGTGGCAGTAAAGCAGTGGGGGGAACAAGGGAATTTTAAAAGTCAGTGGCCTTAGGTGAAGTAGATAGGGTTAGTAGTATATTTCCCTCCCTGCCTTAAAGAGTTGAATGCAGGGACATCCTTCTAGCGGTTTCTTTTATCAAACTTCATACTCACTGTGACCCGCCAACCTGAAGCAGGCTGCAAGGGCCTTGAAGCTATGTGAGCAGTTTCAGATACTGATTTGAACATACTAGCCAGTTGTCTTGTTGCGGAAACGAAGTTTTGCAAAAAAACATAATAGACATAATAAAAGCATAATTTATTGGACATAAATCGAAGAAATAAATAAAAATAATAATTTAAAATAGACCTTAATAATCTTGCTGCAATGTAAAATTTATTAACCTTCCAAGACAAGAACATGGGAAGGTTGCTGTTTTTATGGGTCCTTGTGATTTTAGTTTGGGCCTGCTGCAGCTCTATACTGTAACAACCAAAGTCTCTGTATGCCTGAATATATTGTTCTGAATACAGTTGCCAACCCCCAGGTGGTGGCTGGAAATCTTCTGCTGTTACAACTGATCTCCAGGCAACAGAGATCAGTTGAGCTGAACAAAATGGCCTCTTTGGAAGTTGGATTGTATGGCACTATTCTCCAAACTCCACCCTCCTGAGGCTCCACCCCCAAAATCTCCAAATATTTCAGAACCAAGAGCTGGCAACCCTGGTTCTGAATCTGTTTCTCTGATAGGATATCACAAACACAGGATATTACATATAGCGCCTCTTGCGTGTTTTTTTCTATCAGCTACTTAGAAGGTTTTTACTAAAACTTGTCCAAAATGTTGAACCATGTTCTTATTCTGACTGCTGTTTTATCCTCAGTTTGGTGTAGTGGTTAAGTGCGCGGACTCTAATCTGGGAGAACCGGGTTTGATTCCCCACTCTTCCACTTGCACCTGCTGGATGACCTTGGGTAAGCCATAATTCTGGCACAGCTGTTCTTGAAAAAGAGCAGCTTCTGTCATAGCTCTCTCAGCCCCACCTACCTCACAGGGTGTCTGTTGTGGGGAGGGGAAGGGAAAGGAGTTTGTAAGCCACTCTGAGACTCCTTTGGGTAGTGAAGGGCAGGGTATAAATCCAATCTCCTCCTCCTCCTCTTCTTCTTCTCCTTCTTCTCCTCCTTCTCCTCCTCCTCCTCCTCCTTCTCTCAGTTATGGCTTGCCATATTCAACATAAAACCATTCCTTAAAACAAAAGCAGTCAAAGAAAGCATGAATGTGATTTTCTTTTTAAAACTTGAAAATAAAGTACCAAACAGTGGTGTGGTTTTGGTCTTTAATTTGCACTCATCCCCCCCCCCCCCCCCCCCCCCAGTTAATTAATTAATGTGTCTTCTCTTTCCAGGTCCAACATAAGGCCTCATGTAGAATCAAGTACTCATGACTTCAAAATGCATACCTTCACTCGTGTGACATCCTGCAAAGTCTGTCAGATGCTTTTGAGGTAAGTGTAAGAAGGCGAGGTAAATAAAAAGAATCACACCAAACGTGAGAGAAACTATTGCGTTGAATGAATAAATGAATGAATGAGAATAAAGGTCTTGTTATGGAAAACATGTTCTTGTGTAGCCATTGCATTCTGTTAGTTGTAAGGAAAAGAAAAAATGCTTTGATGTGTGTGTTTGTGTTTGTGTGTGTGTGTGTGTGTGTGTGAGATAAGGAAGAGCATGTGCAAGGGGGGATTACAGGAGAGACGGATTATGCAATATTAATGTTACTGTTATCTCATTTTGTATATAATGCAAACTGGTTATGCCTAAAGTTATGTCTGTGTGCTTCAGATGGTGCTAACTTTTTGTTGTCAGGATTGCCAATGTACTAACACAGAGCAGAACTACCCATTCAGTTGGCAAAAACGTCCTTCCAACCCTCCTTGTCTCATCATGGTCTGGAGGATTGAGTAGTTTCCTGAGAATGCAGAAGTTGGTCATTTCTAAATGTGATTTGAAGAACTGAACATTATAGTAATTCTCTGCACTGATGGAAGAGTTCTGATTTATGAAAACAAAATGGTGGGCAACTACGTTGATAATATCTCCAAGGGTCTTGAGTTACATACAAACAGCTAGGTGGCAAGCTGTCTTCTCCACAAGTAATGTAAATAAATTATTTCTTTGTGGACTGTACTGCAGCCAGAACAGAGCATATTCTGTGAATGAGACATAGTTGGAAGATGAAGTATCTATTAAAGGCAATTATAACCCCCCCCCAAACCCTGGGCTTCATTCCTTGACTGGTTTGAAGCAACCTGTGGCTGTTACTCAATTCAACATACTTTTGGAATCAGGAGAGGAACCTCAGCTGGATGCTCCCCCTATCCCCGAGAAGCTTTTATTTTTAATGATCCATAAAGTCATTTTTTCCCAGATAAGCCATTTTTTCTTCCTCCATCACCCCTGAAAGATTTATTGCACTTTTAAAAATGTATTTATATTGTAATATGTTCTCAGTTACTGAAAGTAATTCAGAAATTGTGATGATTCACTGCCTTTTTGTGAAAGCAAAATAATGATAAATCTGTATTCTATTGTCTACCATGGGAGAGCATTATCTGTGGGGAACCTCTTCATTCAAATCGGCTGCTGCTACTGTAGTTGCTACCAGTATTAGAATTGCTGGTTGTCTTTCTTTTAAAGCCATAAATGCTGCTTTCCAAAGTGGCCCTTGGAGAAAATATTATTTTTCACTAAAGTGAGATTAATGTATGAAATAATATGAATTATGACTTTATTTAAAAAAACATTTCAAAAGAAGTTACACCATGGAGTTCATAGTAATCAATACATTATCGGGATTTACAAAATATTCCAGCTATTTATACCTAATTAATATATCAAAGTTTTGTACATTAATTAAATCAAATAATTTCAATTATGGCCACTGGGTTTCTCTTCTTGTTGCTTTCACGGTACCTACCTTGGAAGGGTTTGCTCCGTATGTGTGCAGACTTACAGCAGAGTGCATGAACTGGCCCCCATAGGTCAGGGGAGACTTGTCTTGGCAGTAGTATGTGCAAAAAGGATCTAGGGGTCTTAGTAGACCACACACTGAACATGAGTCAGCAGTGTGATGTGGTAGCTAAAAAGGCAAATGCCATTTTGGGCTGTATCAACAGAAGTATATTGTCCAGATCATGTGATGGTACCACTTTACTCTGTTCTGGTTAGACCTCACCTAGAGTATTGTGTTCAGTTTTGGGCACCACAATTTAAGGAGAATATAGACAAGCTGGAACGTGTCCAGAAGAGGGCAATGAAGATGGTGAGGGGTCTGGAGGCCAAGTCCTATGAGGAAAGGTTGAAGGTTGAAGGATCTGGGTATGTTTAGCTTGGAGAGGAGAAGACTGAGAGGTGATAATGATAACCATCTTCAAGTAGTTGGCTGTCATATAGAGAATGTGCAGAGTTGTTTCCTGTTGCCCCAAAAGGTCAGACCAGAACCAACGGGGTGAAATTAAATCAGAAGAGTTTTCAGCTAAACATTAGAAAGAATTTCCTGACAAAGCAGTTCCTCAGTGGAACAGGCTTCCTCGGTAAGTGGTGGGTTCTCCTTCTTTGGAGGTTTTCAAACAGAGGTTAGATAGCCATCTGACTGCAATACTGATTGTGTGAAAGATCATGAGAGGGAGGACAGGAAGGGTTGCCTCAGTGCTTAGTTTTTGTGGCCCTTTCTTACACGCCCAGGGAAATGATGATTGCCACTTTGGGTTCAGGAAACAATTTTTCTCCAGGCCAGTTTGGCCAGGGATCCTGGAGGGTTTTTTGTCATCTTCTGGGTGTAGAGGAGCATCACTGCAGGTGTGGAGGGGGAGGTATTTGTGACTTTCATGCATTGTACAGGGGGTTGGACTAGATGAGCCTGGAGGTCCCTTCCAACTCTATGTTTCTATGAAAGATTTATTGGTGATATCAATCAATCAATGTTTATTTATGGTCCAAGACAATTGATCAAAGAAATACATATTCATTAGGTACAAACAAATTTGCTTTCAGCTAAAAATTTATTCAGACATATAACCTTAAAATCATTAAAAGTTTAAAAATCGATTGTATCAAAATTTATAAAATATCTACAACTGAACTAAGTATGACTTGTGTGGAAGGTAGATAAGGGTTATGCTTGATCTGCTTTATTGTGGAATTTTACCAGATGTGTATTGGTGATATTAAACCTATGATGACTTGCATCTCAGTTCTGCATCCATGATGTGGGATAGAAATACTCAGTGATGGCTTCACCTCTATGAGAGCTCCTCAGTAGATGTTAGCATTGGGATGCTGTTGTTAATGGTGTATGCATGGCAGCAGTAATGTATGAGGTAGGATTCACGTGCTAGCACAGTCTTTAAATAATTATTTTAAATTCGAGATCCAGCTGCACCACTGCTGTTAGCTAGTTCAGGTAATGGCCAATTCTGAACAGGCAAACCCCCTTCTAAGCTCATTGTCTTCAATGGACTGTAAACAGTATAACTGCTTTGAACTGTACTGTTAACCATCACAAATGGCTGCAATAGGATTGCACTGTAAGATAAGCAACTTTGAATGTTCAGGGGGGCCCCCCCCATATGTTCAAGAGCTTAAATTCACCCCTCTATTTTTGCTTGGTCTGCAAAATCCAAATTTAAGAGACTCATTTTAAGTTTAATTCAGGAGCAAGAATGTTCTGCAGCATGCATCCCAGATTGTCTTTTTTGTTACTCCATTATGCAAATTGTGTTGTACACAAAATGTATTTCTCCTAATCATTCCGCAATCTAACTTTACATTCCAGAGGAACATTTTATCAAGGCTATTTATGTTCAAAATGCGGAGCTGGAGCTCACAAAGAATGTTTGGGAAGACTAGACAGTTGTGGCAGAGTTAATTTGGGCGGTAAGTCATTTTTATTGTTTGGGATACAATTTTTAATTAGGCTATAAAACTTGCCAGATATAATTAAGGTTTAATTTCCCCCTAATTTGTGTTCATGGTATCACAGATACTTTTGAAATGGTCATTTATAAGCACAATTATAATTGTGTTTTGATATTATGGCAGTTCTCCTCAATTTTAAGCTTGTAATGAGAAAGAGCAAGGATGAGAGGCTTGCCTCCAGATCTGCCAGAATTCTGTTTGTGATCCAGTCTGTGCAACCCGTTCTGCATGCCCAAGTAGCTTCTGGTTATCACGCAACATCCCCATGCTTCATGGCAACCTGCTTTTGAAACTGGAAGGGATCTGAACGAGTCAGCCTTACGATGTGATGCAATATGGTAGCAACAGCGATGTAATGTGCAATGTTCTAAAATACGTAGTCACATGAATTGGCAATTTTATTTATTTATTTATTATATTTATAACCCGCCCTCCCCGCAAGCGGGCTTAGGGTGGCTCACATTGCCTGGCACAGTGTGCCAAGGTTCCTATACATCAAACATTTAAAACTTAAAACACTATAAAACATTTAAAACATTTAAGCAATCAACAATATTCAAGTAAAGTGCAGTCAGTCTGTTGCATAAAAACCAAATGAAATCCAGTAGGCCAATAAGAAACCACAAAGGCACGAGAGGGTACAACATTCTATAACTGCAGTGCCACTGAATCCTGCATCTGGAGGCATCTAGAAAATCTTTATGCAGACAGAGGCTCTTATAGGAGGAGATAGTCTGAAAAGTTGTTTCGGACTTTACAAGTCAATACTAGCATCTTGAATTTAACATGGAAATAGATTGTCAGCCAATGAAGGCCTTTTAACACTATTGTAATTGTTGGTATCTGGAGTGTAGGAAGTTATTCAGTTAAATACAACCTGTGCCTGTAGTTGTGCAAACTAAATAAAAGAGATTACATAGGCAAATATAAGGTATAGAAAGGCAATAGGAATAAATTATTGGCTACTGGACTATCTCAATTCTACAAGGATTAAAATATTTAAAATGAAAGTAAAAAGCTGAGAAGAAATAGAGGTAGTGTTTCCCTGAATGGTTGTGAGAGTTTCCTGAGGTTGTTGGGGAATTAGCCAGGAAACCCAAACAATGCAAGAGGGAATCAAGCAGGATCTCCACCTATGTTTGTGGGGATTTTTCCCTCAGTAGAACCCTAAAAAATGAACTAGGTCATGATTAATGAAATTATTTTTATTAAAGAGAATTAAAGAATAAAATCAAAACTTATAATTGGAAGAGCACTCCTATGAACACACATACAAGTTCAAAAAGAGCACTCTATGAACACACATACAAGTTCAAAACATAAAGGTGGTAGCTTTCTAGAGACAAAGAAGGGAACTTATTCTATGGGACTATATTTACCTATCCAAAGAACAAAGATCCAAGAAGGAGGACCAGTGAAATGAACCAGGGTACCCAACCTTTACGTTGAGGGTGTAAGTTAGTGGACGTCCTGATACACACATTACTGAACAAAGTGTGTTTGGTTATTGCTCCTAGAACAATGCTGTAATGGTTAAAGTGAAACAACATTGTCTGAACAAGGAAGCTTCATAAAGTTCCCAGGAATTGCAAGTGCACTGTGAAATGTCTGTTGTGTTTGGTGACCTCTAATTTACCAGGACAAGACAACTATTACACAAAGGATTATGGGATTAAAATGATTTTCACTAGGTTT